CCTGCCTCAGCCTCCTGAGTAGCTGGGATTACAGGCACGCGCCACCATGCCCAGCTAATTTTTTGTAGTTTTAGTAGAGACGGGGTTTCACCATGTTGACCAGGATGGCCTCGATCTCTTGACCTCGTGATCCACCCGCCTCGGCCTCCCAAAGTGCTGGGATTACAGGCTTGAGCCACCGCGCCCGGCATGTTTTTGAATTAATTAATAAACAGATAGATGCAATGATGTGCCTTTCCTAGGGTGACACGTTTAGTCAGCAACAAATTGGGTACCAGGATCCTGGTTTCCTGACTGATAACTCTACCAAGCCTCATGCCCTAGTGGTGCCCCACTGGGTAGTGGCCTTGGCCCCCGCTGTCCTTGGTGCCATTCCCTTTTCCTGTAGAACGTCCAGGAGATGTGCAAGCTTCACTTTGGTTCCTGTGGTTAGGGGTTGGATGCTGGTCTGTTGGCCCTGGTTATGGGGTGTTGGGCTGTCTTCATTCTGGCCTCAGGTCTAGCCCAGACTCGTCTCATCCATGGATTTCCTGGCCTCATTCTCTGGTCCATTTGATTATACACATAACATAAGGTCACTTCTTTCTTGTCCCCTGGAAGGCATGTTTAGGTGTAATGCCCGTATGTTCCTCGGAGCTCAGTCCGAGGGTTTCTGACTGGCCCTGAGAGGGAGGTAGCAGAGTCTGTGGTGAGGCCTGTCAGCTTCTGGGGAGCAGGGGTTAGAGGAACGGGTAGGTGGAGGCAGTGGGGCAGCTGCCATCTGTGCAGCAGGGTGGGGTGAGGCAGAGGGAGCTCCAGACATGTCATCTGTGCACATGAGACAGGATAAGAGGAAAATGAGGGCCTGATGGCTCTGGTCCCTGAAAGTCATGGGCTGCGACCCAGACGGGCCAAAGAGCTGCAGATAAGCTTCACTAACTCTACAGTGCTGGGAGCTGCAGGCGGAGGCAGAATTATGGATGAATTATGCAGCACTAGGAGTGAATGCATTGAAGTCAGGAAATTCCAGGCACCAATGTGTTTATTTTGATAGTGACCACCTCCCTGTTCTGGTCGTTGCAGTTCCTGGACTATTGTGGGGGTTGCTGCCCTCATCCTGTTCCTGGTGGCCCTGCTGGCTCGTGTCCTCGTCAAAAGAAAACCACCCCGGGACCCACTGTTCTACGGTACGTCTCCACAAAGGGAAATCTTTTGTGTCTGATTAATAACACAATACTTTTGGCCCCAGTCACAAACTCCTCCTTGGTTGTGAATACTCAGGGCCCTTTGGTAATGGTGGCTACAAGTGTAGGGGAGTTTCGGGACAATGTGGCCCTCGGCTCTGGCTATTGCCCCTCAGGCTGCGGACTCCACCGTCTTCTGGGTGGCATCCTGGTGGAGGGTTACTGCCAGGCCAGGCAGGGCACCCTGTCAACCCCAGCATGCTTTGACATCTGATCTCTGACTTCTGACCTTGACTCTCATGCCGGCTCTTTCCTGGACTTCCTGTCTTAAGCCTGTTACTTGCAGTCTGCCCCCTCCCCTCACTTAGTGCAAAACTTAACTGTGTGGTACCTGTGCCTGCACATATGCATGAGGAAAATAACAGAACCTGCCATGGAGACAAGCACCTGTAATGCATCTTGTATGGCCCTGAGCACTTTAGCAGCAGGCTTTTACCCCATCCTCACCATCCCTGCACTTGAAAGTGAAGAAGCTGGCTTGGAGATGCTAAGAAATGTGGCAAAGGTTGCATGGCCGTTGACCCCCAAAGCCCATGCCCTTCCATTCTGCATGCTGCCCCAGCCAAGCTGCTACTGGCCTTCCAGTGCTTCCTGTGCCAGGCACTTTGCTGGGCATTTTGTTCTGTGGTTTCTGCTTCAGTAATGCTGCATATCAAATGCACCCCAAATCCTACAGCAACAAACATTTATTTTTCTTGCTCACAGGTCTGTGGGTTGGGGCCACTCTGCATCAGGCTGTGGGTTGGTTTCAGGGCTGTTCTCTATCTCTTTGTTCCTGGACAAGCAGCTCCCAGGGCATGCCCTTCTCATGACAGATACAAAGGCACAGAGGGGCTAGTGGTAAGAAAGCAGTGGCTCTTAAGGCCTTGGCTTGGAGCCACCCACTCTTATTCCCACCCATATTCCACTGGCTGAGACAAGGCATGGGGTGCCTTCTCATAGCTGGTCATCAAGAGCCTAGGGAGCATTCTTTGCCCACAGTGGGCCTTGGCAAAGGTGGGGTGGGAAAGAGGAATTGTGAGTAACTAGTTTCTTCCAATCCACATATAAGAAACTGTGAAGTGGCCAGGCATGGTGGCTCATGCCTGTAATCTCAGCACTTTGGGAGGCCAAGGCAGGTGGGTCATGAGGTCAAGAGATCGAGCTCATCCTGGCCAACATGGTGACACCCTGTCTTTACTAAAAATACAAAAGTTAGCTAGGCATGGTGGCACACACCTATAGTTCCAGCTACTTGGGAGGCTGAGGCAGGAGGATAGCTTGAACCCAGGAGTCAGTGGTTGCAGTGAGCCAAGATCATGCCACTACACTCCAGCCTGCCAACAGAGCGAGACTCCATCTCAAAAAAAGAAACTCTGAAGCTTATAGAAATGATATCACTTGCCTAAATTTTTGCAGGCAGGCAGTAGATGAGCTCAGTCCATCTGACTTGAAGGCCCACACCCCTTTTCCTGGCCCTCTCCACTGGCCTGTGCTCTGGCCCCTATGTACCTTTCCAGACGAGTCTCCTGCTGCTGTCTGTCCCTCCTGTTCCTCCACACTCCATGGAGCCTATACTAACTGTACTGATGTCTCTCCCTATTCTTCAAGTCTGGGCACCCTCTCCTGCACCCTCAGCCCTCTGTCCTAGTCTGTTACAGCTTTGAGCACACTGCAGCCTCAGGGTCAGGCCCCAGGCCATACTCCTCACCCACCAGAAGGCAGAGACCATGTCCTTGTCATTGCTAAAACAGTGTCTGACACTTATGCTGGCATCAGCAATCACTGGCAGATTATGTGCCAAACACTTCCTTTCATGGGAGACGTACTAGGGAGGCTTCTGAAAAATGTGTATCAGGAAGTGGCACTGTCAGTGACAACTGAGCCAAAGCCCCCCCCAGTGGAGGCGTGGGGAAGCCACATCTGCAAGAGAGGGCACATACAGCCTTTTGTTCCTTCTGGGGAGAATGTGAGTGCTGGCCTCCTGGCTGCCGACTCCAGGCAAGGCCGGCTTCTCTTCTCTGTGAATTTCCCACCCCCACACTCCTCTCCATTTTTTTTTTTCACAGCTTTTCCTATATTCACCATCAGATTTTTCTACTGTCCATGCCCATCTCTTAGTCTAAGGCACCAATTTGTTACAATTTGAAAATGCAGCTTTGACAAACTAACATGCACTACATTTTATCACCTGCTGTTTAAAAAGTATTATTTCTTACTTGTTGCTAGTAGTTGTTTTAAGCCCATTTAGGAGATACTTACAACCTTCGTGAGATTCTCTGACAAGTACAGCTTTCCTTCTGTCACATTCAATTGTACCCTCTTGTATTCATTTTTAACATCACTAGTCTTTTTTGTAAAAGCCATTGTCACTTGCACATCAGCCACCTGTCTGTCTTTAGGATATGCCATGTGGAATAGGGTAACCACACTGGACATGCTGAGAGTTAGCCTGCTTGGGAATCATTGAGATGAATCACCCCGTCTAAGTCATTGTTTTTTTTTTTTTTTTTGAGACAGAGTCTCGCTCTGTCGCCCAGGTTGAAGTGCGGTGGCGCAATCTTGGCTCACTGCAACCTCCGTCTCCCGGGTAGCTGGGACTACAGGTGCGTGCCACCCATGCCCGGCTAATTTTTTGTATTTTTTTTTTTTTTTTTAGATGGAGTTTCGCTCTTGTTACCCAGGCTGCAGTGCAATGGCGTGATCTCGGCTCACCGCAACCTCCGCCTCCTGGGTTCAGGCAATTCTCCTGACTCAGCCTCCTGAGTAGCTGGGACTACAGGCACGCGCCACCATGCCCAGCTAATTTTTTGTAGTTTTAGTAGAGATGGGGTTTCACCATGTTGACCAGGATGGTCTTGATCTCTTGACCTCGTGATCCACCCGTCTCGGCCTCCCAAAGTGCTGGGATTACAGGCTTGAGCCACCGCGCCCGGCCCTATTTTTTGTATTTTTTAGTAGAGATGAGGTTTCACTATGTTAGCCAGGATGGTCTCTATCTCCCGACCTCGTGATCCACCCCCCTTGGCCTCCCAAAGTGCTGGGATTACAGGCGTGAGCCACTGTGCCTGGCCTAATTTTTGTATTTTTAGTAGAAACAGGGTCTCACTATGTTGGCCAGGCTGGTCTCAAACTCCTAACCTCAGGTGATCTGCCTGCTTCAGCCTCCCAAGTGCTGGGATTATAGGCTTGAGCCCCGTGCCTGGCCTGAGTCATTGTCTTAAACTTCGTGGTCACTTCTATGCCCCTTGGCCACTTGGTTAATGGCTTTGCTCCCATTGCCCAGGTGGGATGTGGGTTTGGCTCTGGGTAGCCACTGGTAGGGGAGTGGAGGATGGATGGAGCTGGCCTGCCAGAATCTTCTGTGACTGAGTTGGCGGTGACCATCATTCTCCACTCCTGTGATGAGTGTTCCCTTGATGAGATGGGAGAGCTGCAAACACAGGTGGAGGTCCAGCTGGGTGTGTAGAAGGGGTATTCTGTTAGTCTATCTCGATAATTGTCCACAGCATCTTCTGGAAAACATAAAATTAACATTCCATTATTATTAGCTGATGCCAAGCTTGTAGTCATTGTGTCCTGAGCTATTACTTTTTAAACTGCTGCTTTCTTTGCTCTAGTGTATGCAGTTTTTGGATTTACCAGCGTGGTGAACCTCATCATAGGACTGGAGCAAGATGGAATCATTGACGGGTTCATGACACACTACTTGAGAGAGGTATGGGGGTCATGTAGTGATTATGAGGCTTAAACCAAAGACCACACCCAGATCACATTACTCAGAGACAGACGTCCTCTCGTTTAGTGTGAACAGGTACGATACGCAGGCTTTCATTTCCTGTAATAGCCGGAGGTCGCTTATTCACATGGAAAGTGGAGCAGAAAGGACGGTTAGATCATGGGAGGCAATTCTCTCCAAACTTCAGCTCTCACGGCTTTTCTCACTCATGACTTCACACATGACCTACTTTTCCTCTTTAATACAAATAAGGTACCTTAAATGAATTTAGTATTTGTGTGTCTGTTAATACATGACTATCTCAGAAACCCCAAATCAGTCTTAAATTTGTAAAGTACCAAACACACAGGTACTTAATGAAGTCATTTGATTGTGATAGTTGTCACTCTCCACCACACTGCTCAAATCGCAGCTTTAGATAGCTGCCTGGGTACTCAAGAGAGCTAATCCCATTTTCTTATTTTATGGTAGGCTGAACCCAGCCCCAGAGAGGTTAAGTGACTTACTCAAGGTCACATAGGAAATGAGGAGCAGGGCTCAAAGCAGATTCTTCCTCTATGTTCAAATAATGGGGAACTTTGTATGTACGCTGTGGGAGTTTGGGTTTTATCCTGTCTGTGAGAGAAGATTTTGTCAGTGAATAATACAGGCAGCTCTGGGAAGGATGGGCTTGCAGGGAAGGGTCTGTGTGATGAGCTGGGGCACCAGTCAGGAGGCTTCCTCATGACCAGCAGGGGACCAGCAGGGGCATAAACGTGGCCAAGAAGAGGCAGTGCCTGGGAAGTAGAGAGAAGGATGAACTTTAGAGAATTGGAGTGGCTAGAATGAATTTAAGACTTGGGGACAAGTTGGGGATGATGGAAAGGGTGAGGCCTAAGACGACGTCCTGATTCCTACTTTGGAGTTTGGAAGACTGCAGCTGTTTATATACCAGAGACGGATAAGAGGAGGAATTTAGTTCTGCAAACATTTGTTGAAGGGGACTCTAGGGTCAGAAGACCTGCTCCCAGCAAGCCACAAGATCAGCATGAATTATGAAGGCCAGCCACTGGCTCTGGAAAGCAGGGTCGCCCCTGGCCACCTCTCTGGTCATTGCCAAGGATCTTTTGTCAAAGATCTGGCTTGGTCTCCATGAGTTTGCTATACAGCCAGGATGTCCTCCAGGAGCTCCCTGCTTGATGTGGTAGGGAGATGGCATTGTCCCAGGTGCAGTGACAGAGACTCACTCCAGGCACAGAAGTACACAGAGGAGAAATTAAGTACACAGAGGAGGCATTCTGGAGAGAAGGGACAGTTTGGGCAAAGGCTTGGAGAGGAGAAAGAACATGTGCCTCCTCTGGGGGCACCAATCTGCAGGTGTGAGGCTGAGTTTCTATGGGGAGGTGAAGTTTCAGATGCTGGCAGGGCTTTGCAGGTCTTGAGCTCTAAGGAGCAGTCCTGGCAGACAAAGAAGCCATCTGAGCGCAGTTGGTACCTGAAGGTCTGTGAGGAGAGGGGCTTGCCTATGAGAAAGTAGAGACAGAATAGGGTTGAGGTTGGGACTTGAAAGTCTCTGAAGCGGACTATGGGGGACAGGCAAGAGGCAGAAGGAAAACCTGGGGAGCGGGGGGCCACAGAGCCCAGAGGAGGGAGGTTTCAGGAAGGAGCCGGTTGACGAGAGGGCTGGAGGCTGAGTTGGCAAGGGTGGTAACCACTGGGACAGATGGGGTACCAGAAGGGGGACTGGTGTGTCACTCTGGTGGCAAAGTCTGCAGGGCCAGGCTCTGGGACCCAGCTGTGATATATAGGAGATGGGACTGTGTTCAGCAGGCTGTGAGAAGTTTTGGGAGTTTTAGAGTAGAGGAGCGACATGCCAAAAGCCAGGCCTTGAGAATCTTCATCTGGCAGCAGGAGTGTCGTGGGCTGGAAGGAGGGGAGAGAGGTGGGGGGCCATTTGGGAATGTAGCCATGGTCCTCTGAGGGACACTGAGGGCTAGACCTAATGCTGTGAAGAAGAGGGAGAATTGCCAGGGTGACGTTGTAGCAATAAAATTGATAGATTTGCTGAAAGACTTGATAGGAGAATGAGGAATGAAAAAACGACCCCGTGGTTTTGACCTTGGTAAGTTGAATGGTATCACCATTAATACAGAGAAACCATGGCCAGCGTGGTGGCTCATGCCTGTAATCTCAGTGCTTTGGGAGACAAAGGTGGGAGGATCACTTGAGGCCAGGAGTTTGAGACTGCAGTGAGCAATGATTGCACCATTGCACTCTAGACTGGGTGACAGAGCGAGACCCTGTACACACACACACACACACACACACACACACA